AAAGAATACATTATCCAAGCAGCTCAATTTCCATTTATCTCTTAAACATAACATCAACATAGATTTACTAGAAATTTTCCTTCCTATTTTCACCAAAAACAGCAATAAAGACAATATCCAAGTGCAATGTTCCCTAGCTCACTATATCATTCAACCAAACAGAAAATACAGTATGCAAGCAGCTCAATTTTCATTCATCTCTCAAACATAACATCTAACATACATTTACTGAATTTCCCTTCGTAGTTTCACCAAAAACAGCAATCATCTATAAAAGACAATTATCCAAGTGCAGTGTTTTCTAGCTCACTTTGTCATTCAACCAAACAAAGAAAACATTATGCAAGCAGCTCAATTTTTTCATTCATCACTTAAACATAACATCGACATACATTCACTGAAAATTTTCCTTCATATTTTCACCATAAACAGCAATCATCTAACACCTACTATTCAAAAAAAGAGAATTTCTAGATATTACAAAAACAAAACGAAGTAGATCGGAAGAAAAACACGAACTCACACTAATTCAAAAAATTCAAAATCAAACAATAGTATTTCTAATATGCAAAATATACGAAATAACCACCTGATGTCTATAATTCCAATAACCATTTGATCCGGCAAGAAGGACGGCCCATCTGGTTCCAACAGAGTCATCTGCGACATCGAAGAATCTGGAGGCTTCCGACGGAAGTTTCAAAACATTACGTCCTTCGACGGCGGCAAGGACGGCGACTCCGACGAGGATGAAAACTCCGGCGACGTGAATCATTATTATCGGAATTTGCAATAATATAGTAAAGTTTAGTTTCTGCCATGGATATTATATAATACAGAAAATATCTAATAGCGATTGACGTGGACGGCTGAGATTGAAAGAAGTTTTCTGCTATCTTACGCAATATGCCTATTTTTATTCTTTAAAGTCAAGTGGAGTGGGTGATACATAAAGACACAGTAATCAACAATAACTCGATATTTGTATTGAATTTCAATTAATTTAGATTTGTGTTATCATATTATAATTTTTTTTACATTCTATTTAAATGGTTGTTACAATATCTTTTTATATTATATTGTAAAATATAATTTTAATGAATATAATATTCAAATTGATTATAGCAATTTTCATCGTTACATAATATCATACATCAGTAATTTAAAAGTTATACCTATAAAAAAAAGTAGGAGATAAAGTAAAGTTATGATAAAACATAAAATGTAATTATGAAATAACAAGTAAATCTAAAATGGGAGGAAAAAAAAAAGCAACATTACGGTCATAATCGTCATTAATAATAAATTTAATTATAAAGTATAATAAAATATTTTTAGATACTCAAAATAAATATTTATATTTAACGATAAAATACAAAAGGCAACAACCATCCAAAACAACTTGTCCAAGTAAACACGAGACACATGATAAAACTTGTCTCACATGTATATATTTAAAAAAATAATCTTTTAATTATATATTTAATATTTTTAATGTGTATTTTGAATTTGTTAAAAGTGAATATGTTTAGCCTTTATTGATATTTTACAAATTAAGTGTGTTAAATTTAATAAAAATTGTGAAAATGAAGATTTAAACATAACTCTAATAAATTTATTCAACTCAATTCAACTTTTTTACAAAACAATAAGTTGTTTTATTTTTTTGTGTGGTATAAAAATACCTCGAAAGTTATAAGTAATTGGTTCAAGTTGTTTAAGTTCGATTGATTTGGTAGATTTTCATAATTTTTATTACAAGTTTGTAATTGAAGTATTATATGATTATAATTCTTACACTAAAATTAGGATTATAATTTAGATAACTTACTTCAACATTTATGTGAAAATTTTATCTGAAATATAGTCCTTATTTTAGTACTAATTTTAGTTATTATCTTCAACCAAATATGAAATAATTTAATTTCAAAATTTAAATTGGGATAACTCATCAAATGTCTTGAACAAAATGACCCCTAAAACTAATTAAGAGTCTAAACGAATAAGGGTCATGATAAGGTGGTAAGGCAATCATTCATTTTTGTCAGTAACATACCCTATACGAAGACTTTCTAATATAAATTTAAATTCAGTCAAATTTTAATATAAATATCGAATATCAAAGATGAAAAAAGAAATTACTTATTTTATATTGTTACATATATCAAATTTTATGTTTTTTTGTGAAATATCTGACTTTGTCATCGTAATCACAAAATAATGGTGATGAGCATACCACCTTGGCTTGCGGAACTCTGCACATTTGGGGTAGAATTTGGCATCTTCGACTATGTACAAATCACGTTTTTGTTAACTTCAAATTATTGTGGTTCTTTTTTGATAATATAATGACTACTCGAACATTTTGTTTTTTACAAGAAAGTTCAAAGTTTGGACTAATGTATAGTACAAGTTCGTAGTATGTAAAATATGTAATAAATGATAGTCATGTGAATTGATTAATTAATTTTGAGAAATGGTTAGAATATGTTATTCATTAATAATTGTGTTAAATATATTCTTATTGTTACAATATTGATTCAAATCGTGATTATTTTATATATATAAAAAATGCTTAAATTACCTTTGAACCTTGCGAAATAGTTTAGATTTGTTTTGGATTTTGAAGGCCTCATTCTCTTTCTATAGCAACAATGTTTTCCTCTTCAATACTTAAAATTTCTAATGATAGTGTATCTATCTTTCAAATTTAGATAAGTTATCCGCAAATTTCAAATCATCTTAAATAAAACTTAATTAACACTGACTTAAATTTTTACATTTTCCGAAAATCAATTAACACAATTCTATAACTAATCCTTCTGAGATCATTAATAGCAAACTCAAAGCTTCAGAACAACCTCATAATGCCAAAGACTTCTTATTCAACATTTAGCTTCTAATTTATTCGCAATAATGTTATGGTAGTTAAGGGTGGGTTATATAGTAGGTGAGGGGCAAAACGGTAAAGATAAAAACGTGAAAGAGCCTATTTGAATGAGGTGGTTATGTACAAAACTTGTGTGTTCTTTTGTAAGTGTCGTTGATGTGAAATGGTGGATCAGCAACAATTCGAATAACTTTTTAAGAGCGGAAAAAATTATAGTTCTGATTCATTTAGTAGATGGGTGATTGAGAAAAATGAAAAATGAAATATCAAATTTGTAAAGTTTATAAACACATGGTTTGATCATTTTACAAAGTTTAAGAGCAAGAGCTTACATAATTTTTCAATAATATCACGTGAATTGAAACAACGCTTTTAATGACAAAATTTGCAATAACAAGTGAAGATATATACTTCGTCTATCACCAAATTCATTTGAATTACAAAAGAGTAAGCAAAATGCTCTTCTCAAGATTAATCTACCCTAAAACAATCAAGATAGTTTATTATATCAAATACATTTTTATTGTGGCCTTTTTTTGTCTTTTACAATAATGTCTACTCAAACATCTTGTATTCACAAGAAAGTTCAAAGTTTGGACTGATGTATGTAAATATGCACTAAATGATGTCATGTTAGTTGATTGATTAATGGGGAAATATTTAAATTAGTTATTAAACTTTTGGGGAAGGGTCCAAATATGTAATTCTTTAATAATTGTGTCAAATATATTTCTATCTTATGGGACTAATCTAAGTTATGACATTTTTTCTTAACAAGGAGAAAAGCTTAAATTTGTCCTTGGACTTTGAAAAAAAGCTTCATTGTTGTTGTGATCAGTGACGGGGTCAGGATTTTCAATAAAGGGTTCAAAATCTGAAAAAATAGACATATAAAGTAGTCGAAGAGAGTTCGACATCTACTCTATATATCTAAAAAATTATTTTAACCATGTATAAATCATATAATATTCCGTCGAAGGGGGTTCGGATGAACCCCTAATTGTAAGGTGGCTCAGCCACTGCTTGTGATAGTATTATCATCCTCTTCAACACTTAAATTTTTTAACGATAATGTATTTATCTTTCAAATTTAGATTAGATACCTACGAATCATAAATTATCTTGAATAAAATTCAATTACCATTAACTTAAATTTTCATATTTGTCGAAAAAACTCAATTAACACAATCCTATCACCAATCCTTTTGAGATCATTAGTAGCAAACTCCAAGTTTTACAACAACATCATAGTGCCAAAGACTCTTTTTTCAATATTTAGCTTCTAAATCATTGGCAATGATATTATGACAGTTAAGGGTGGGTTATAATGGTTAAGGGGCAAAGCGATAAAGATGAAGGTGTGATAAAGACTATTTGAATGAGATGATTTTGTGTCAAACTTGTGTGTTCTTTCGTAAGTGTCGTTGATGTGAAATGGTGAAGTAATAGCAATGATTTTTGAATGATTTTTTTTGAGTAGAGAGAATCAATTAATATAGCGATGATTCATTTAGTGAATGAGTGATTGAGAAAAATGAAATATGCACAAATTTGTGAAGTTTTTAAACAGATTTTTTGACCACTTTACAAAGTTCAAGGGTAATGAAACTTATATAATTTTTCAACAATGTCACGTAAATTAGAACAACACTTCTGATGACAAAGTTTGCAATGACAAGTGAAGATATATGCTTTGTCACTAAGCAGATTTATATGAGCTACTGAAGAATAAACAAATGGTCTTCTCAAGATTGATCCGCCTTAAAATAATTGAAGAAGTATATTATATTAATTGCGCTTAAAATATAAATGAAAAGAATGGAATAAAGTATCGTTTTGAGAAATATAACAATTGAAAATCTTAAAAACTCCTAGGTTCTCAATTTTAAAGAATTTTTTGTCAAGATGACTAAAGTAAGTGCCTCTACATGAGATTCGAGTAACTAAATATGAATCGATACCATAGACATTCCGATAGCGAAAGAGATGAAAGACACAATCTTACAAAATCAAAATAGGACAAACAAACTAAATTATCGGGAGTAATCTCAACTGAATATTTTAATAATCCTACTAAATAAATACTCCTTATTGGATGTTCTCCATTTCTCTCTGTTCTATCCAAGAAATATTGGGTCCTCCAATTTTGCACTTTTTTGCCCCTTCCATTTTCACACAGTCGTTTGATCTTTTGCCGACTTTTCCAATTACTTCTTGTTTTTTTCTTCACTGTTATCTCTTCCCTGATATTATTGTTCTCACCAACAAGCCCTCTTACCTGATCACAGAAAAATACAATAGTAATTTTGAGAAAGTATACATCTTTTTTGCTTCTGTGTGCTTCAGAAATCTCTTGATTTCTATGTAAAGAATCTGTTTTGGGTTTCTGGGTCGGTAGAATTCTTGTTTTTTCTGGTGGGTTTTGCTTGGTTTTCTTCAATTTTGATTGATTTTGTTGAAAAGGGCAGAAATTTGATGTAATTGGACGGATTTCTTTGAATTTTGGAACTTGAATGTATGGTAAAGTTTCCTTTTTTTGGATTGAATTAATGAATGTTGGAGATTGGGTGAACCTGTTGAGAAGCTATTAGGGGGAAGAAATGAAGAGAGGAAAGGGTGAAGAGAAGTTAATGGGACCTATGTTTCCAAGGCTTCATGTTAATGATACAGAAAAGGGAGGTCCAAGAGCACCTCCAAGAAACAAAATGGCTCTTTATGAGCAGCTCAGTATTCCTTCTCAGAGATTCAAACATGGGATTTCGAATAATCCTAACAATGCAAATATCCAGGTATTCAAACTGAAATTTATCCCTTTTGCTGAGTGTATATAAGTAATATATGTGAGCTGATTCATTAATTTGGCCAATAGAGTTGGAATTAGCTTTGAATGTATGATATTCCTTTTTGCTGAGTGTACATGAGTAACATATGTGAGCTGATTCATTAATTTGGCCAATAGAGTTGGAATTAGCTTTGAATGTATGATATTCCTTTTTGCTGAGTGTACATGAGTAACATATGTGAGCTGATTCATTAATTTGGCCAATAGAGTTGGACATTAGCTTTGAATGTTATGGTTTACTGTTATGATTGGTAGCTTTTGATTTTAAGTCTGTTGTTAGACCTGTTTAAGATAAAAGAGTTCATTTTTATCCTTTTTGAATTCTTAGTTTTGTTTTTACCCAAAAAAAACACTCTTATAGGATAGGATGGTTGTTTTTCTCACAGGAATTGGGTTAAATTGCAATGAGTTGCTGAAGAATTGTAACAGAATCAATTGTCTTAACTTTGTGATATTGTTTAAAATCATCTAGATCGACTATTGTGTGCCAGCATTATTGAGATAATCACTAGATGATATGCACACCGTTCGCTAACCTCCTTTGTTTTGTTTTATTGGGAAAAAGGTTGGGGTGGCTAGACACCACTTCCATTGGCATGCTTTGCATAACAATGAGGAAGTTAAGTATTACCTCAAAATTCTTAAGTTCTTCACCTTAATGTTCCAGCAGGATGTTATTAACTAATTTATGTGATTATCCTTCTCTTAAAGGTCTGTTGATGAGAATTTGAATTACCTCATTCAATTAAGTAAATGGTTTTGTCATTTCCTTGCTTTCTTTTTTCTGATCTTTTTCTTGGAAACTAAAGATAATGTACTAGTAGCAAATGGACTGTTACATCAAAATGTGTTCTTAATGTAAGCTGGTATTACCTTTAATCTTTATGCAGTTTAGAGGTTTCATGATGTTATCTGTTTCACTCCGGATTTAATTTATATTTTTTGTGCATGCTGATTATGAATCTTGTAGATGCTTGAATGTATGACCTGACTGATTTAAGCAATTAAATTGTGCAGGGGAATGGACGTGAAAATGATGATTTTTTCTCAGTACAACTTCCTCCATCAAGACATCCTACTGAAAATCCACATTCCTGCAGTTCAAATTCAAAAACTCCTTTGCTGCCAGTTGAGTCTAACAAGAAAACAGAAGAGGATGACTTCAGTGTTCCTGTATTTGTTAAATCCAAGGCGGGCCAAGGAGATGGAAAGCTTTATAGTACTCTGGATGGTAGAAAGCTCTCTGCCTCTACTGCAGTACTTTCGGGGCATTCTAGAAAAGACTTGAATGACGAGAACTCCAAACAGATCGCCGTAGGCAGAAAGATTTCGTGCAACTCTACCTCAATTCCATCAATGGATAAGCTAGATGATGTTCTGAAGAAAGCTGATGTACAATTGCAATATGAACCGAGAGATGACCCTGATAATACTTTTGGCATATTTTGTAAGAATGATCTCCTACGACCGGAATGCAGAGTTGATTCTCAAGTTGGTGGCACCATGCTATCTGAACCTGTTAGGGTTGTTGATAATGGTGATTCTTCTCTTCTTGTGAAGGATGTTGCATCAAAAGAGCAGATAAGTCCTAATAATAATCACAGTAATGATAAGGAATCAAAGGAAGACAAGGCATCTGAATCATTACAAACAAAAATTGTGGACCAGGGTGACGACTTATCAGAGACTTCCATGGTGGAATCTATATCTGGAATGTACATATCTCCTGACGATGTTGTTGGGATAATAGGTCAAAAACATTTCTGGAACGCCAGAAGAGCTATTGCCAAGTAAGTTCAACTGTTTTGTATTGGCTTGGTGCATGATAAGTATTTGAGCTTGACATTTGAATTTTATCATCATATGTGAAATATGAGTCTGCCAACTCTTTGGTAGTTGGGTGGATGATCTTGTATGTTGGCTTTTGTTTTAAACTTGATTTCCACTTAACTGATGGTGTACTTCCAAGTGCTACTCAGATCATCATTTATAGAGAAAGTGACCAGTTGACCTCTATGTGTATCCTCATGGTATTTTATGTAAATGAGGTACGTTCTCCTGGAGTAATTTTGCATGCTGTAACAACATTATCTGTTCTGTGAATGTATTACATGTTCTCTTGAAATATCTGCCTACTTTATCAGTTAGGTCACTTGTTATTCAGAATGATCCCGAAGGATATTTATCACTTGTTAGACATCTGTTCCTACTTAAATTTGACATTTGAACTGCAATATGTTTTATAAGAAGGACCTTGTCAGATAATGCATCTTGATAATCTTTCGATGTCATGATCTAGTCTTGCCACTGGGTGCAGTTTGAGTGGCATGTTTAGTTGAGTGACATGAGCTTTGCTACAACATGAAACTCCCCCACATAAATAGTTTAATTTTTAAAAAAATTGTAGTCTACTTCATCATTTGTTTTTGTAATGCTAATGGTCTTTATTCAATTAGAGCTTTCTCACCTTATATTAGGATATTTATTGGTTTTTGTTTGTCTCTGCCGGGGGTCTTTAACAATTTAGACCAAGTGGTTGCTGACTTGGTGCAAGTGGATGGAGTGTGAAAGGTCTCAACACCTTTGAATGGGATGATGACCCTTTTGAATACTACCTCCTCTTGTCCATTATAAATGACCTTTTAGCTCAAAAGAATTGATCCAAAATAAGTGTCTTCGAGAAATCAAGAAGACATTAATTTTTTTCTTTTCAAATCATTTCTTGTTCTCTCTCTTGCAAGATTGAATAAGCTCAATCAAATTTGACATTCCCATCGCCTCGCCCTTACAATGGAATTGGAATTCAAGCTCAATTAGAAATATATAAATTTCGCCTCAGTTTCAATGTCAATGTGTTAAATTCAATCAAAATAGATGTTTGTAAGCCAAGAAAAACAATTAAAGCTACATTATAAAATTTAAAGAAACACAAAGTAAGTGACTACATCCAGATCACTATTGAGGAAACTAGAAACAAAACTTAACTGAAATAATTGAAAAGTATTTATACCATTTTAGGATCACATTTCAATTGAGCAAAAAATCGGTTTTTCCTTTAGTAATCAACACATTAAACGAATATCAAATCCATCTTGTGTTGCTACTCGACAAAATTCTTCATCATCAAGATAAATATATGTTCTTTGCATTATCTTACTGAATGAATATTGGATAACTTCAGTATCCTCATGGCCATTTTGCCTTGATAGTAAGAATAATTTATAATTTATTCAATGAAGTATGACCTTACAATGTCTTTGGTTATTCAAATTACCGGTTTTTGTCTCTGGATTATGGAAGCTCTGTTACGACTCTTTTAGCTTGTTCTTATGTGATTTAGGGGAACATACCAATTTTTCTAAAGAAGAGTTAATTTCCTTGTGCATCAAACCCTGGATGGGCTATAACAACTTAAAGCTTAGATTCTTATGAAGTTTCTGAAAAGGCAGTTCCCTAGTCTCTTCGTTAGAACTCATATATTTGTTTTGCTAATTCACTACTAGAGCTCGACATATTTCTTTTTCCATATGTCTCTATTGTTGTGTGAAAGAAAAAGATATTCAAGGAAAGAAATTGAAGGAGAAAATCAGTCCAGTAGATACATGTGTATAAAGAAACATAAATATTGAATAAAATTAACAGGAAAACAAGGAGAGAGGCAAAATCGGTTTTCCTTGCTTGGGCTGGTGATCCCCTCTGTTTTAATAAGTTCACATGAACAAAATTAGTTCGAGAGGCAAAATCTGGTGCTAGCATACTGATGCATTTTAATGACTTCTAAAGCTCTAATTTCAAGGTGCATCCTAGAACTACATAAATGGGTTATGCTGTGATGGAAGCTGTCTCCACCACATATTAGTGCTGTAGGAAAGGTCATCATGTTGACAGCCTTATATTTTTTGATTATGATATAGAAGAGATGTTGTGTGTGTGAAATCCGTAGAAAAACGGGAGGCTTTAAATATGGCCTTGTCTTCTGAAGCTCTAGAATTTTTTATCACCCGGTTGGTTGTCTATTGCTGTTTTAGGTTCTCGTTTGTTCAAGCGTCTTGATGGAACTGACTACTTTTCAGATGGGTGAGGATATCCATCCCCTTTCTTTCATCAGTATTTGTTGTTGTCTCGTCTCTAGATTAACTTAGTGGTATTCTCTCTTTAAAATTGTTTTCAGCAGTGCACTAGTCTTTTTCTTTTTCATTTTTAATTGATAATTTTTTTCTCAATGCACTTGAAAGGGCTAACTTCTTTCTATTTGTTAATTGGTTGTTTGACGTTTTCCCTGTTGTCCTGGAACAGCCAGCAAAGAGCGTTTGCGGTTCAAGTTTTTGAGTTGCATCGTCTAATAAAGGTGAGGTAGTTGTAGAGGCTAAATTTCTCATAGTATCAGAATGCAATTTTGTACTGTAGACAATATAGATGTCATGTTGGACTGGATTGATTCATTACAGAGACAAGAGGAGTCAGTCTAGTCCTATGATGTAAACATTTTTAGCACTATCTTGGGTGCTGTGCCTTTTGAACTAATAAACTTACATATCAGAAAAACACAATTTACATTTACTTTTTTTCTTATTGAATTAAGTAATTCTGCTGAAGCTTTTGTGTAACTATAACAGGTCCAGAGACTCATAGCTAGTTCACAAAGCATGCTTGAAGATAGTGCTTATTTAAGCAAAGCTGTAAAGGATTCATCTGCTAAAAAGCTTCCGTTGGAGTATATTGTCAGAGATGGTCACAATGTTTCGAAGCAGAGGAAGAATTTTGAGAAGCCAAACACTAGGATGGAATGTTCTGCGGAAAATACAGTAGGCAAACCTGTGAAGGATTCATCTGCTAAAAGACTTCCGTTGGAGTATATTGTTAGAGATGGTCACAATGTTTCAAAGCAGAGGAAGGATTTTGAGAAACCTAACTTTAGTATGGAATGTTCGGCTGAAAACACAGTGGGAAAGGCATCCTTCTCTTCTGTGCAAAATAATAGCCAGCCTTCAAGCTACAGTTTGTTTCCAGGTCACCTAATAACAAATGACTCCACCATGGGTCCTTGGAGCTTCAATCAACCCTCAGGGCACCAATGGTTGATCCCAGTCATGACTCCTTCCGAAGGACTAGTATACAAGCCATATCCTGGACCCGGAGTCACAAGTTCAATCTGTGGAGGTTATGGACCCCCAGGATCGACTCCGATAATCGGAAACCATGCAGCTCCATCTTATGGAATTCCAGCTTCTCATCATCAGTATCAAGGAGTCAGAATGCCTTTTGCACCTCCAGCTGGTCACAACTACTTTCCTTCGTATGGCATGCCAGCCATTAATCCAGCAATCTCATCTTCACCTGTCGATCAATCAAGTCAGTTCGTTGCTCAAGGTTTACAAGGTCAGTTATCAGGAGGAGGAGCTAATTTTTCTGTTCAACGTCAGAACTCAAGTAACATGCCAAGCAATAAGAATGGGACAGATGTGAAATCTCATTCCTATAGAGATGCTGAGATGCAGGCCAGCACTGCAAGCAGTCCAAGTGGAACAGCTAACAAAATAATTGTGGATAACGCCACAGAGCGAAGAAATGTTCTTCCTCTATTCCCAACTTCTCCAGCTACCAAGAACCCGGATATAAGCTCCCAACCTCAAGTTCCTAGTCATCATGCTCGAGTCATCAAAGTCGTACCTCGTAATGCAAGGTCTGCCACAGAATCTGCTGCTCGGATTTTTCAGTCTATTCAAGAAGAGAGAAAACAATACGACTCTGGTGTTAATTAATCATCTATAGACAGTAGTTATCTAGTCATGAATGTGACCAGTAGTTCATTATGATGTGTTTATGTATAATTTCTTGTAACCTTTTAGATAACAATATTGTAACTGGAATTTATTTGGTAAGTGAGTCATTTTGTAAATAACATACTTACCTTGTAATTATATCACTATTACATGATTTTTCTTCCTGGTGTTGTATACAGAATAGTGAACGTTGTTTTTAAACCCTCATATAAGTTATAATTTATTGGTCTTTTGTTTATCTGTGTTGAGGTGAAGCTCTTACAAATATCAGTTTATCAGAGATGTTGAAGCTTATGTTGCTCGGATTCTCGCAATACTTACATTAGATCCTCCAGTCAATAATGTTGTCGCATCTGTGTAAGATTTTTATGTCGTTATAGCTGTGCTACGACATTTCTGGAGGACCAATGCAGCATAGGTTGAAGCGTGCATTTTTAGAGGATCTGACAATAGTTGCTCCAATATTCTTGGAGAAACAAATCAAATAGTTTTCATATTCAAAAGCAGAAGCTTAATAAACTTCAGTCTTTTAACAAAGTGCTAATATGGCTTTTTACAAATTCAGTCTTTTCACCATCCATGTTCTCTCTCTCTTTCAAATTTTGAAACTTCTGTCACCTCAATAGCTATGCTGCTGGACTCTGGTGCTGCATTCTAGTTCTACTCTCTCTTGCTGTTGATTTTTTGTTGTCTGGGGAAAATCTTGATTTTGCTAATTTGATGAAGTTGTGCTGCCTTTAACCCCTGCTGCTGGATTTGTAGTGTAGTTCATGCACTATCCGATTATCACTTCGACATCCGTCCCACACAACTGAAATTTAGTCTTGTATCATCCTGCAACGACTCAAAGCTTCCAGTCTCTCACTGCCATCGGCCACTATTCGTGAGTCAAAAACTCAGACTCCTCAAAGAGGTTTTGAATTTTGGAATTTGATGCGAGCACATTTCAACTCCTTCACACCATCCACCCACCTCAAGTTCGTATACCTGGTCCATCGAGCTGCTCATCATCATCCACCTTTTTGTCATCCTGCATAGCCTGCAAAGCTGGGGCACCTCTAGAACATTGTTCACAAGTACTAAGCGCCTCCTGGCTACAGAAGAATGTTATGTTGCACTGGTCAAGAAAACCTTCTTTTATAACTCCCAAAAAGTTCCTTGATGTGATGATGTCTAAACTATCAGGCTGGAATTTTCATTTCACTCAGAAATGCATGGTTTCTGCTCCCCAGTATCCTCTGTTGATTTATCATCAGAACTTCGGTTTTGAAGGCCAGCAGTCTTCACCTCGTGGAGTGACTCCTCAGGAGTGATTATCTGTGATGATCCGCCTGACCGACTAGAAACACTTGCAGGAGACACAGATCCTATATCTTGAGGACTAATAGAAGCACGTTTCGGCAGTTTGTCGGACTGTACATCAACTGTATGGGTTTCCTGCTTCCTCTTTGAACGCTTTTCTTCAGAAGACATGCAACCTTTGGCATCTTTCTCGGGAGTATGCTGAGTTGTATTTCTAGATTGACGTGGTCTCTTACACCCATCAGGAAAGACATAAGCAGGAATTTCCCTCCTAGGAACATGCGAGACATAAATATCCATGCCCGGTCTCCAATAAGAGTACATGCTTACATCTTGCTTAAACTCATCGACTGTTCCACGAATATCAAACTGTTGACCTTCTTGTACTTTGACACCCTTTTGCCTCTGCAAACCCATGAAAAAAGCACAATGAGGGCATGGCTTCGACATGTCCACAAATTCATTAGGATAAGGATGGCACTGCAACGTCCCATTGGTGTCCCGCTCTATCTGCAAAGCATCAACCGAAAACTACACATTACATCACTAGAATAAGAAGAAAAAGGATTTTTGAAAATGACAAGGAAATTAGATCTTTCCCTCCTGGACTTTATCTTTCTGTGCTAACAATTCTCATCAACCTGAGTTAACTAAAAAATCTACCAACTTTCACCTTTAGCGTGAGTTGTCGAAGCCGTGATTCCACCCATCCTTTCCAAGCTAGCAAATCATCATTATCTGCTGCTACGATTTCAACCTGGAGATAGTTTTTGTACGCCTCAAAGAAAAAATAATGCTCAAAAAGAGCAGGCCACTGTGCTTTATTCAACTCCACATCCTGGACAAAAGAATAAACTAAAAACATCAGCACTACTTACTAAAATTTGTTACAAGAAGAAGGGGAAAGAAAGAACACTGAACCTTTATAGCTTACCTCACAAATCTTGTTACCAATCTGAAATTGGTCCATCATTACTCGAAGAGTGCTTGGTGAGACGTTATAGCTAGAGTTCATGCAAGGGTAGGCAGGAGTGATGATTGGCATATGATGAGTTCTGTCTTTAGGATTCTTGCGCGGATCCCAAACAAGAAACCCAAGTTCATCCTCTTCTATTGGGCATAACATCACAGGATTTGGCCAACGCCATTGTGTATAAACACGGAAGAACCTAGAAACAAGCATACTAGGGATTGCATTTGGGTAAAACTGGCAAATGCGAGCAACCAAAAGAGCCCAATTCACCCCACCAAGAAATCCAGTAACCTGAATAAGAAGCACAGAAGAGGCAAACCAGAAAATCATGATCAGATTGGGATATTTCTAAAGAATGACACCGTCATGTCAAATTAATGGTAAAGATTATGACCAAACAAGAGGAATGACTAGAGAGAGAGACCACTGAGATGGTTCGAGGGACTAAGAACTCACATTGGAATAAACACCACGTCTTTTGGCCCAGAACTTCAGACATCTAAGAGTTGTGCGGAAGTGCTGCAAAAGTTTTAAGTAAACATGGAAAGGATCAATCATTTAAGGGAAGGAGGAACACTGATGGTTACCTTAGCATTGGGAACTAGTTTCAGTATTTGATCAGCAACTCGGCAACCATTCAGACTTCGAACAGTTGGTCCATCCACATTATAGAGTATAGATTGGTCTGAGATATCCAAATCCTATTGTCAAATCAAAATTACAAGTTGGAGTTGAATTCAATTCAGCATAACAATATAATCGAAGCCTGAATAATAATATTCAAGAACCACATGTTTCATATTCAAAGCTCGCAAGAAAAGGTGGAACACAGTCGAAATACACATAATAAATGAAAAGTTGTTGTATTCTCCATTGAATGAACGAATCCACATAGACCAACTCTTCAAGTACCAGCCTTAACAAACAACATCCATGAAATCCTTGACATACCACAAGTTTCAAAAGGGAAATAAAAAGAAAAAGGAAACTACACAAATAAAGAACGATTCATGAAAACTTAATACCAACTTACTTCAGGAATAACCAAGAGAGTTATACTTGCATAAAGAAGATCAATTGATATCCCTTGAAATTTGAATTTCATAACAGGGACATGAGCATCGGGAACTGGTTGAAGTTCACGAACTTCTTCCATTTCAGCTAAAATATCATGAAGAAGGATAAAGAAATCTTCCTGCATAGTAATCAAAAAAAAAAAAAAAAGATTGGGGTAAACACAAAAAGGAACAATTTTAATCAAATTATGTCATGTTCACTGAACCAAACAACAAAAAATGTGACCAGTGGGTTGTACTCACTTCTCGATTGACATAGGAGGGACCAACACACAATGTGTCAACATCAGCTCCTGGTCCATGAACCTGCAAGGAGTATAATACCAACTTATGCATTTGTTGAGCCAGAACCTCAAGATAGTGAACGAAGGGACCATTCAGATTCTAAAGTAACTTACATGTGAACCAGATTTAAGTTGGGGGAATAAAAATTCATGTGGACGCCATGTAGGAAATAAAGTTGGGAACAAAGGGATTTAATGGTCAAGGGCTTATATGTGCTCAAAGTTGGACGGTACGGGAAATATATCAAAAAGTATAAATATAACCTTTTTTGAAGAGTACATGGGAAAATCTGACCCTTTCCGCATATCCAATACTTCCGTTGGAGATGTGTTTAATGTTGTTAGAGATTTGTATGTCAGTACAAAATGTTGAGAACTTCTACTGTTTAAGAATCTAAATTGCTGAATATTAGACTGAGATAGACATAACCATGGATAGTGAGGATTCGTATTACTAATCCCAAATAGCTCGGTGTATGTTGTTTTTTCCAGTACTGAACACATTTACCATCTGCAGAATGAAGACGCATCCTGTTCAAACTTTGTTTCAGGTTTTTCATGGATTTCCGTACCTTTGTAAAACTAAATTACAAGAACTACAACCTCATGGAATTCCTTCATCACCTTAAGTAGACCCAAATAAAAGCACTGCCTCCGTTCTAGGACAAAATAGTTCACCTACTTAACAATCCCGTGAGATATTGCACAAATCTAAGTCCATTGGTTATTAACCAAGGTTAAACTTGCAGCACAGAAAATGGAGCAGCATGAGATCACTTAGAGACTAATTGCAAAACAGGAATAAATTGGAAGTCCTAGACTAGTGTTGTTACTCAGTTTCTAAAGGTGCCGTCCAAAATTTTATTAAGTTGAACTTCACATAAAACGGCCCATATAATGCATAGCATTTCTAACCTCCAATCAGAAGAAAGCTAGGAACATAAACCAAGTAGAGGGCATGTTAATCTTACAGGTGAAGATTTGAAGCATAATTAACATCCAGAGAAGGGGATTCTATTAAGCTGCTTCCGGAAGAACTAACTACAAGTAAATTCCATAAACGCTGAAACGTTTACTTACCCCTAGACGATAAGAGCCAAAGGTGACTATGATAGCATTTGCATCCTCAACCATTTGATCTGGGTAGCCTCTCTGGCGAGTCAATTGTTTCACCCATTGTTTTACAATCTACAACAGAATAGTGACTGGTCATTACAACTTCTTTCACTACACTTCCATGGATAGATCACCTTATGAGAATCCAACACTATTAGTTGGATATTATGGACATATGAAAGGAATTCAATATGCAAATGGTAGGTTAATACAAGAGGAATTATTGCAAGGAGCTAAATACCAAAATAACCAGCAAATCCAATGCATAAACTGAAAAGTTTTTTCCTATTATGACAATTATGGCAAACAATAAAGCATATTTCATCAACTTCATGTAAACATAAAGGGGTCGTCTGGTAGCTGGAAAAAAAAACAAATTATCCATGTATTATTTTCCATATAACTTGTACGAACTATGACGTATAACTCTAGATAGGAAGGAGTGGAGGTCGCTATTCAGGTAGAAGGTTAATAGGGGTAGAGTGTTGTTTTTCCTTGCGAGGGTTTAGACTTGTTAGTGCCTGTCGTAGTACTAGTCATACACTTGTAGTTCTTGCTTTTGTTATCTATAGCCACATGTTTTCTTATTAAATGTTCTGTTTTCTTCATTGTAGTGATAAGGTCTGCTCTCCAGACCCCATTTAGTGGGATTTCACTAGGTATGTTGTTGTTGTGGACGTATGAAAGGTAGATATAAAATAAGTTATTTTTGGTATAGAATTAATACGACGTTTGGTTGACAATTTAGAAACCCGCATAACTAATACATGAATAACTAATCTCTACATAACTAATACTTGCATAAAATAATACATATATTCTCTCATAAGTCATAACTAATCCAAATTGTTAAAGTAATTAATGTGGTTCAGTTACCTCATCAAGTCGCCGCAGTACTTCTTCTCTCCTTGCAGTCTCTTCCTCACTGTCATACAATACTGATTCCCTCAAAAACTATCCCATCACCATAAAACCCAAAAGTCAATACATATTCATGATTCGAGTGAAATCAACTCTGACAATCCTAGAACAAAATATATAAGGAAAAAAAAAAAGAACTACCTTTTCTAGTTCAGCATTTCTTTGAAGATCTGCCTCAGTCGGCCCAGCAAGAGATAATGGCTTTGTGACACCATATTTCATTGGTGGTGGTGCAGCAGACTCACTTAAGCTCTCGGAACTCACCATCACACTGACGAGAAAAGGAAACAACCCAAACCAAAAAGAATACCAGTCTGAGTTACCAAACTTCAGATCAGCATAAAAGATAAACTTTACACATCATTGAACAATTGAAATACAAACCATTTGTGGGATTTCACTGAGTATGTTGTTTGTTGAACTGATGAAATGCAGAACCAGAACAATCAAATGAAAAAGGCCAGTCGAGTTACCAGAATTCAAATTAGCATAAAAGCTAAACTTCACAGATCACTGAACCGATCAAATGCTGAACCAGAAAACAAAAAAATGAGAAATTTTTAACTATGAAGGAACAAAAATTGAAATGGAAAACCCCACGAGAAACCAAAATTCAGATTAGAGTAGACACTCAATTTCACAGATCACTGAACCAATCAAATGCGGAACCAGAAAAGAAAAATACAGAGAATTTTTCAACTCTATGAACATAAATTGAATAGAAAAAATGCGAAAAAGACCAGTCGAGTTACCCAGAATTCAAATTAGCATAGAAGCTGAACTTCACAGATCACTGAACCAATCAAATGCCGAACCAGAAAAGGTAAAAGGGAGAAATTTTTTCAACCCTATGAACAAAAATTGAAAAGGTAAAAAAACCTAGAGCAGAAAAAGACCAATCGAATTACCCAGAATTCAAATTAACATAGAACCTGAACTTCACATATCACTGAACCAATCAAATGCGGAACTAGAAAACGAAAATACAGAGAATTTTTCAAAGTCTATGAACAGAAATTGAAAACGAAAAACCCTAGAGCAGAAAAAAAAAACAGTCAAGTTACCCAGAATTCAGATTAGCATAGAAACTGAACTTCACAGATCACTGATTACTGAACCAATCAAATGCGGACCCAAAAAACGAAAAAAAACAGATTTTTTCAACCCAATGAACAAAATTGAAAAGTAGAAAACAACCCAGAGCAGAAAAAGACCAAATAGAGTTATCCAGAATTCAGATTATCATAAAAGCTGCTAAACTTCACAGATCACTGAACCGATGAAATACTGAACCAGAAATCAAAAATGGAACGAAAAAAAGGATAATTTTTCAATTCAGTATGAATATGAAAGCTCTCATAAATTTGAACGAAGGAATATTCAGTGTATATAGAAAGAGAAAGAGATCTGGAGAGGATAAAGCGGTTTTTGGGGGTTTTGCCGCTGGGTTTAGCAAATTACAAGGGGGGGGGGGGGGTGCTTTACTAAATTAGAGGTTTCGGTTTGGGTT